CAAAATTGAAACTTAAATTTGTTAAAATAAGTTAATTCTCGTAATTTTTATCATTATTTTTTTGATTTATTTAAATAATTTAAATATATCATAGCATTTAAAATTTAATATGTAAAAAAGTTTAAATACTTGAAAAATTCTCATCTTTTCGAAATAAATATGTTTATATTATTAATATAAACATTCATTTCAAAAAGATTAGGATTTTAATAAGCTGTTGGTCAACTTGGTTTATTTATTATCTTTACTTTTACCATGCAGTGTAGGCATATTAAAGTCCTTTTTTTTTTTCTAGTGAAACTTTAAACTTTGGTTTTTAAACTTTTTATGTCATAAATGACTGCATTAAATAATTTTTATTTATTTCCTATTGATAGCACATTCCAGATAGATTTGCCCATATGGAATCTGGATAAATGTATCTGGAAACAATTCACAATTTTGGATCCAAAAGTTGGTATTAGAGCACAATCATTTTGTTGACAAAGTCAGTATTTTACTTATCTTAGTTTAAATTATTTTTATTAGCTATGTGGAAGTTATTCTCTGCTAATAATTTTGCTAAACATTTTTATATTGTTTTTTTGCACACACACACACACACACACACACACACACACACACACACACACACACACACACACACACACACACACACACACACACACACACACATGTGTGTGTGTTTTTACACACACACCGATATATACATATATATATATATATATATATATATATATATATATATATATATATATATATATATATATATATATATATATATATATATATATATATATATATATATATATATATATATATATATATATATATATATATATATATATATATATTATATATATATATATATATATATATATATATATATATATATATATATATATATATATATATATATATATATATATATATATATATATATATATATATATATATATATATATATATATATATATATATATATATATATATATATATATATATATATTAGGGCTATGAGAATCAATTTGATTTAATTTCTGAATCAAATTTTGCTTTGATTCAAGATCAATTCAAAAAAAATAGTTCTAGTTTTTCTAATCATTTTTTATTTTATGAGTTGTTTTTTGAGGTTTCCTATATTATATTTATCATATATATATATAATTATTCCCCAAAAAAAGATATTTTGTAAATGACTAAATGATTAGGGTACAAAAAGTTTATACATTAGATATTTTACAATTTTTCTACTTATAGGAATTGTTTAACAATCTGCCAAAAAGAATAAAAATTAAGTTCTGATGAAAAAGATGTTTGTCGCCTTTTGAGTATGCATGGAAGCAAGTGGCTTATTAAAGATCAAGTTATGAAGGAAACAGGTTTTCTTTAACACTTTTACATATAAGTTGCATTGGATACTTATTATACTTATGTTTACTCTGCGTTAATTTTTTTATAATGTTATTTTTTTATCAGAACAACAGATGTCAATGAGTTTCTGTGGCAAATAATAGATAAAAAAGGAGCCTATCCTCAAAACCAGTATATAAAAATTTCCATTGACGGAGTTCGGAGTTCGTTAAACTTTTTATAATGTTATTTTTATAATGTTACTTTTTTTCTTAGGTAAAAAAATTACTCTCAAAGATCTCCATAACTTGTAATATAATAATGAAAATAAGTTGAATTTAAATTGATCTTAACTAAAAAAAGGTTTTAATTAGGTTATTTAATTAAATGCATTTTTTATTAGCTTGTATTAAGATTTGTTTGCATGTTTAAACAACCTTTAATTATATTCTTATTTTTTTTAGTTCTACCTTGACATTCTACACTACGACATGACGTTAGTTTAGTATTCCTACTGTTGAAATATGGTTTTAATTTAGTAAATTTTTATGATTTGAAATTTACTTTAGTGATCATAAGTCATCAGTTATTAAAAAATTATAATCAACATTATTTAGGTAACAGCACCTTTGTTTTTTTTTTGGCATTTCAAAGTAATTATGTACTCTTACTCATTATGTTGAGAATTTGTGTAATTTATTGACATTTAAATAAAAAAAATTAAAATTAAATAATTTATTGACATTTGATACTTGAGGAAGTAGCTTCATGAAGAGCAATTTCATATCCACATTTAGGAGGGGATTATGCACCAGAGTTTGTTCTCCTAATAAATTTGTATTCTCTTCAACCACAGAGCTTCTTCTGCCCCGTTGTTCTTTTTCAATATAATTTGATTTTCATTTAAAATAAAGCACAAATCTGTTGAATATATAACTTCTTTTTTAATAGGATCAGATCTTGAACTAAGAACAGATGAAAGTGGTATCATAACTGGAATATTTTTTCAAGACTATGAAATGAAATGATTTTTTGGTTTATATCCTGAGTTACTTTTGGTTGATGCAACTTATAAGCTTACTAATTTGAGAATGCCTTTATACATTCTTCTTGTAGTCAGACCAAATGGTGAAAGTGAAATTGCAGCTATATTTTTAACTGCATCAGAAGACTGTGTATTTCTTTCAACAATGTTTGAAATATTCAAGGAAAAAAATATAAACTGGTGTAAGATATTATCTGTTTTTACTGACAAAGACATGACAGAGCGTGAATGCATTAAACATGCATTTCCACAAATTAATTTATTGTTGTGTATATTTCATGTTTTGCGTTGTATGAGCAGAGAAATAACAATATCAAAAATGAATATATCTGAAGCTCAAAGACTGGTTGCTTTAAAAGCTCTCCAAAATATGACATATGCAACTACTGAGAAGGAATATGAAACGTTGTGTGATGAGTTTCACAAAGTTATGCCACTATCTGTTGTTAAGTATGTTGAAGTTAATTGGCATGCTTGTAGGTTCGAGTGGGTGCATTGTTGGCAGCAATAAAATGTAACTTTTGGAGAATGCACTACTAATCGTCTTGAATCTATTATTCGTAGAATTAAAGCTTTTGTTTCTTTGTTAAGTCCTTTACCTATATTCTTCAAAGATTTGCTTACTGTTATTGCCTGCATGTGACAAGAAAGAGACATAAATATATAAAGACAACAGAACGGGTTCCTGTTAGTGCAGTTACAAGTTTTCAATATGAAAGTGATTATAAAAATATATTAACGCTGTTTGCTTTTTCTTTTGTTAAATCTCAGCTCGATGAATCTGTCAGCATAGATGGGGAGTTAGCAAATGAAGTCATACAAACTTCTGGAAAAATTGAAACACTATCTGAGAACAGCTGCGATTGTTTATTTACAAAGTCTATGGGTTTGCCATGCAAACACATGTTTGCAGCTAGAAGAATTAAGAAATTGCAAATGTTCTCTGAAAATTGTACTGCTCCTAGATGGTTTAAGGAAACAGTGCAGAAAAATCATCGCGTTTTTCTAAAGAAGGATCAACATGATAGCCATATAAAATTTGCAAAGCTAAAGGATAAACCCTTGACCCATGTAGAAAAATATCGTCGCGCTAATCGACTTGTACAGCATTTATCTGATTTAGCAGCAGAAAGCGGATCATCACAGTTTGAATGTAGAATGATGGTCTTGCAAAATTTAGCAAGTGTTTGGGGTTATAACTAGGAAGCTATGGTAACTTCAATTCAACATCAATTTGTTGATTTTAATATTCAAAACAGAGTTTCCAAGTTGGAAATGGAAGATGATAAATTTAAGTCTAAACTGCATGAAAGAAAAGTAAGATGTTAACACTTTAAGATTTATTGGCCTTTGAATTGCTAATTTGGCTCCTATAAATTTTTAAGTATTTTAGTATTCATCATTGTTTGTTCTCCAATTATAGCTTGAAATAACAGATTTAAGTGAGCAAGTTGTTGATGTTGTTAATGTTGAAGAATTTGATAAAAACAATTTTGATCAAAACTATAAAGTAAATTGTGGTTTGTTTGACTTTTTTTTTAATTATTTATTTTATGAAGGTAAATTGTTTCGTTTCCAATTTCAGTTTGAAAGACCAGCTTGTTGTGGTAAAGTTGAAAACAATGCAGTTCAAAACTATATGGTATGCTTTTATTCTTTTTTCCTATTAAAATTCTTTGTTTTATGAAGTTAAACTTTTTTATTCTCGAATATAGTTTGAATGACAAGGTTTCAGTGGTTAAATTGAAAGCATTGCAGTTCAAAACTATATAGTAGTAGTAGTTGTTGTTGTTGTTGTTGTTGTTGCTGTTGTTGTTGTTGTTGTTGTAATAGTAGTAGTTATAGTTTGCATATAAAGATCTGTAATACTTAGTCATTTCAATCTTACGCCATATGTCGAATTCCTCAATAAAATAATAAATCTTGTAAAGTAATGTTGCACTCTTTCTAAAGCTTTAATTTCACCTTTGAATATAGGAGACTAAACTAGCACTGCAAATTCAATAATGTTGTATACAATAACCTAAGCATATGTATGTCAATTATAGAAAAAGTATTTTTCCATATCCCTATCATTCTGTTTGCTTTTGAGGTTTCAAGTTTGAACAATATAAAACTCCAAGATCTCTTTCTATGTTTGTCTTTCTAAGTGATTTTCGTCCAAAGAATATTCATACTTAATATTTTTTATACCTAAATGCATAATTACACATTTATCAGTATTAAATTTGACGAGCCACTTCTTTGACCACTCAGCAGTTTTATTTAAATCTAATTGAAATAAATTAGCATCATATCTATCTTTGGCCTGACTAATTAACTTAGTATCTTGTTTGGGATGTTCAGCTTGTTATCTTTGATTTTTTGAGTTACAGAATCTTTCTTTGCTTCTTCCGCGCCATAGATGATTAGATTGTTCTCTCTGCTCTTGATTTTATTCTGTTAAACAGCCAACAGTTTTTCAACAGCTAATTGCTCAACTAGCTTTTTTTTCCAGGTACAACAGTAACCCAACCACATGTATCAAGGATAGATGTTTTTTTTTTTTTAATTTAATTTATTTTTATTTTATGAAGGTAAATAGTTTTATTTCGTATTATAGTTTGAAAGACCAGGTTTCAGTGGAGAAGTTGAAAGCAATACAGTTCCAACCTATATGGTGTACTTTTGTTTATTTTCTCTATTAAAGTTATTTATTTTATGACGATAAATAGTTTTATTTCCATTTATAGTTTGAAATAGGGTTTGGACAAAAACCGACTTTTTGAAAAACCGGTTTTCGAATTTTAAATTTCCCAAAAAAACGGTTTTAACTGGTTTTCGAATTTTTCTTTAAAATTGAATAAGGATGAATTACTTAATTTATATATTAAATTTATTTCACTTATCGTAATTTTTAGGAAATAAGATATTTAAAAGGGTTTTATAGTTTTAAGTGCATCAAATAACAAATCTAAGTTTTTGGTTCCTTTATGCGTCAACTCAAATAATAAAAACTCAGCTTTCAGTGGGTTTGGGTTAATGAGGTTTTTTGCAGACTCTTCAAGAAACATTGTATTTTTCTTCAAGAAACATTGTATTTTCCATGATTTTCTAAAAATTCTTTTTAAAAAGTTTTACTCTGATGAGCTTCTTCGATTTCCTCTTGATCTTGGTGTTCACAATAGAGTTTTATAACAATAGACAATAACTTTTTAGACAATTCAATAATGTCAATTTTTGAAGCTAAAATAAACATACTAGATTTTTTTGCTGGACCGTAAATGTTTTCAGGATTTTGCAAATTCAGTAAAAGAATTGCTAGTTCTTAATTTAATACATAAACGTATTAAATTATTACATTTATAAATATATAAACATAATATAATCATACATTTAAATACATTTGATAAATACATATAAATGAATATTAAATCAAAACCATTCGAGAAGATTTTGTTTACCTAAAACTTTGTGTTTTACATCCATATATTTTTAGACAAACAACTGTTTATATTGTGTAATTATTAAGTAGGGCCCTGCGAATTACCTTTTTAGGGATTGAATCCGAATCAGCCGTTGATTCGCAAATCAAGTCAAATCTTGTATCAAATTAGCTTTTTGAGGATATCTATATTTTAGTTAAACTTAGATTTCCTTAAATTGACTTGTGATTCAACTTGATTTGCAAATCAAGAATTGCTTCGAATCGTGATTTGATTCGAAACTAAAAATTGTGATTCACAGGGCTCTTTTATTAAGAAACATTTTGCAAAAAATGAAATCAAAACCTTCATCTACCACAGGAAAAAAGTTATGCTTGCAGTGATAAAGTTGAAAGTAATGCAATTCAAAACTGTATTGTATACATTTTTTATTTTGCCCTATTAAAATTACTTATTTTCTGAAGTTAAATTGTTTTATTTCCAATTATAGTTTGAAAGAGCGGGTTGCAGTAGTAAAGTTAAAAGCATTGCAGTTCCAAACTTTACGGTATACTTTCCTTTATTTTCTTAATTAAAATTATTTATTTTATTAAGGTAAATAGTTTTATTTCCAATTATAGTTTGAAAGACCAGGTTTCAGTGAAGTGGAAAGCAATGTAGTTCCAAACGCTATGGTATACTTTTATTTATTTTCGTTATTAAAATTATTTATTTTATGAAGATAAATTGTTTTATTTCCAATTACAGTTTGAAAGTCCAGGTTGCAGTGGTGAAGTTGAAAGCAATGTAGTTCAAAACTTTATAGTTCCTTGTAAAGGTATTATAGATTTTACCATATTTATTTCTTGTAACTTTATACATGTAACTTGTATTTTTTTAACATTGTAAATAAATAAAAAATCAGATTTTTTTCACTAAAAAAAAATGGAAATAGGACAAAATTAATACGTAATACAATCATTTCAATCACATTTGGTACATCTATTGATCTTTTTACTTTTCTAAAAAATATCTTTTAAACTTGCTTTAAAATGAATATTGTATCTGTTGTTCCCTTTCATGGTCTTGAACCAAATTGTGGTTTATTGCTATTCATTTCAATTTCTAGTACGTCTTCACCTTTTATAAACTTTTATTTAAATTTTTTTACAATCATTTGAGATTTAACCTAAATGTAATTCATCAGACATGTGACACTTTCCCTTTCACCCACATCATCTGAAACTCAACATTTCAGCTGATACACCAGGAGAATCAACAGGCTAGCCTAATAAAGCTGTACCAAAAGCTATTTCAATTCATTCCTGGTTATTAGCTTTGCTGGTCCATTAACATTATTCACAACAGATAAACTGTTTTCATTATGCCCATTTTGTTTAGCCATCTACCTTGTTTTCAATGCAACTGTCTTTGTAATTGTTTTTCTATTTAGTATTTTAATACAACCTTCTCCAACAATGTGTATACTTTTCCAAATGTTTTGCTTTACAACTCTGAATACTTATAAATATTTTTTCCTCTGCATCAACTATTTTTTCTAATAACTTCTGCCTATGTGATTAAGCTTTCTTTCTATAGCTTAGCCAAGACATTTCTAGACTTTTTCCATATGTAGCAAAGTTTTTTAAAGTTTTACCATTCATTCCACTACCATCCAATCATTTTAGAACTGCCACCTATCTTACACATCTTTTTCAGGTAGTATATGTTTTTTTTCTTCTACCAGGCTTTTAAGAAATCTTGCATAGTGAATCAAGTAACTAATATTCACATTGATTCACCATTGAACAACACATCTTTCATCACACTAAAAGGTATACTTGCTTGCTTGCTACACATACATACTTGCTACTGGCCAATGTTCTATTTTTGCCAGTGACTTACCTGAGGCTAGTAAGTGATTGATAAAGCATAGCTAGATGCCAGGTTTGTGACCGGAGTTGCATAAACATTTAAACACCCTAAAGTATATTAATTTATTTAAAATTCATGTTATATTTTGTGTATATATACATATATAAACATCCTTATGATCAACATGATCATCATAAACATCATCATTATTATCATCATGATCATGATGATCATCAGCAACAGCATAAAAGAGGTTAAAGGTTGATGATGATCACCATTTCTTAACTCATTTATACAATATGTATGGCAATCTCTTCAAATGTTCTTACTTCTACCATTACCATTTTCTATCCTCTTCTTTTTTTTAAGTAACTTTAAGGGTACCACAAGGTTCTATCTTTGCTCCTGTATTGTTTCTTATCTACAATAACAATCTTCATGAAATCTAAAATGGCTCTATTTGCTGGTGACTCAACTTTATACTCTTGTCTTGACAAAAAACCTGCCGATTTTAAATCTGCTCTCTCTTCTGTAAGAGCCTAATGCTTCCAGCGACTTATGGATGTAAATTCTGGGTTTAAAATCCACAGGCAAAAAAAATCTCATTTACTGCAAAAAAATATTGCAATATTGTTGGCAATCCTATATTTACAAATAACAACCCTCTTACTCTCAGACAAAGTCTAAAAACACATTTACTATGTTCAAAGTGTAAAAGAAATAACTTTACCAGAAAGCGATAATGAACAGCACCGATTACAGAATCAAGTATGCAACGTTCTAAACTAAAAAAGCTATCACAATGAAGCATGACAAAATGCAGTCAAGAATAAACTGCAGTAGAATTAGCTAGATAGGATAAAGTGATGGTGCTACTCAAAGAAATAATTTAACAACACTAGTAGTTCTAGATGGAACCCATTGGACAAAAGGCCCAGAGCAAAAAGAAAAGTTTTAAACTTTCAGTAAACAGCAATGGTAGACAACCTTCACCCTCTTTATTTAATCAACAACTGCTTCCCAATGGATACACCATCTCAAAATACTGGATATCTAAGCTTATTTTTCTAAATAAAGAGCTAGCACTTGTTATTACAAACATTATATTCCTAAATTATAAGTTTGTTTTTGTTATTGCTAACATTAACTTTCTAATTTAAAAGTTTGTTCTTGTTATTAAAAACAACTTTTTGAAATAAAAGTTTGTTCTAAGTTTTCTTTATACCAGTTTTATAAAAAATCCAAAACTATTTTTTATTTGCCATCACTTTTAAGTCTTTGAACAACAATTTAAAAGCACATTGTAAGTGTAATTAGACTCTACAACAATGGGAGAGTGCCACAAGCTTGGGAGATAAAGCAGGTCTAATTACACTTACAATGTGCTTTTAGATTGTTGTTCAAAGACTTAAAGCTTGTTTGACTATTGACTCAATAGTCAAACGAGCTTTCATTTCTATAACAATAAACCAAAATACATTCTTGCTTGGCTTTTTACTCAACAAGTTGCATCCTTTTACTGTATTTGTCCCTTCATGCTATAAAAACTTTTATTAATCCGGTTTTATTCCTTAAACATCAAAAAAACTTCTTACTCATCTTCATGTTTTCTTTTTTTATGCAACTTACAACTTTTTAAGTCTTCAGTTATACATTTCCTAGTATTTTAACTTATTCTCTATTTTAAAGTAACTCATAACTTAATAGTGGTTGCTTTCAATCTTGTTGGAAGTAAATTAGAGTTTAAAAATATATAAATGTATGCCAGTATGTATTAAATAGTATTTAATAATATTTAATAAGTAATAAATCTGAGCACAAAATTATATTAAGTATTAAATTTTTTTTATAACTCTAGTTATTAACCCCTGATAGATCTTATGGTTTTGCTGGGGCCAGGGCCGGGTTCGCAGGGGCCGGACCGGGACCCCTGCTAAAAGGGAGTCCCTTTGAGAGATGTTATATGAAATAAACACTTAGGATAGAATCAATTGTTAAGGATCATTTGTTTTTAGAATTTAGAAAAGAAACTGGAAAACATAAAAAAGAAGTTATAAATTTCTTTTTTATGTTTTTTATGTTAAAAATCATGTGATTCTTTTAAAATACCGGAGAACCAATTTGATTTCTCCTAAATTCAATTTCCACCTAAGTTTGTATCATGAGGGCGTCCTAAGTCAATAAAGAAAAAAAATGCTGTTGGTGTGCGTAAAGTTCAGAAGATCTGCTTGACCAGATGACTGTTAAAGAAAAAGTTCATAGTAAGTATACATTATTATTTACTTGTCATCAATCACAAATTTAAAACTGGCATTGGTTTAATCAATTGATTTGACTAACTATTTAATTATAATCTATTATATAGTTTAAAATAATGAGTTCTCTCTCCAACAAAAGTTGGTATCTAGCCAATTGGAACCAATAAATTGCAAATTCTATATAGACAAAATAAACTGTAATATAATTGAAATAAGTCATTAATTGAAACGCAATTTAAAAGTTGATGATAAGTAATATAAAAAATAAAGATTGCAGATAATTTGTATTATTTCACCAAGGCTATTTTAACTCCAGGCCTCGCAATTAAGAAGAAAGATGGCGGCTGATTTATCACTAATACTATTCTGATTTATCACCACTACTGTGTTTATTAGTGCTTAGATTCAAAGTGTAAACTGTTATATTTATAATTTGTATTCTGTCTATTTTTTTAAATTCAGAATTCAATATTAATGGATTTATCCATTTATATTTTTTCATCAGCATTTGGATTTTCTTTTTAATGTATCCAGATTTTAATATGACAATAATCACGAATTTGTTTTTAGAAACCTTTACAAAAATCCACAATTTTAAGAAATACCTATAATTGAATTGGACTTTGATAACGAAATCACTGATTGAAAATACTCTAACAAACTTTATATTGTTTTTCACATAAGATGATGAATTTAAATCCTAATTCCTTCTTTCTTTATTTTTTAGTTTTGTTGCTGCGTTTGCTAAAAGGAGGAAGGCCTAATGATGTTACAGTTTTAACACCTTCCGATACTATAGATCTTAAATTAGATGCTAAAAATCTTCCATCATCTCTAATGAATGAGATAGTTGTTTTTGAAATTCTAAAGCCATTTCTAACAGCACAAGCGTGGAAGATTTTAAGAGCCTTTTTTTTAAAGCGCAAAACAATGAAAATTTGGAATTGTCCAATTTGTATTCTTAATGCTCCTACAGAATCGATTAAGTGTAGCAGTCGTCTTGAATGGTATCACTTTAATTGTGTCAAGGTGACATCCAAGATAAACAAAAATTGGTAGTGTAGCACTTGTCTGTTGAACCCTGAATCTTGAAGTTTATTGGTAGATAAAGTAGATTGTTGTTAAATTTATTGGTAGATAAAGTAGATTGTTGTTAAATTTATTGGTAGATAAAGTAGATTGTTGTTAAATTTATTGGTAGATAAAGTAGGTTGTTGTTAAATTTATTGGTAGATAAAGTAGATTGTTGTTAAATTTATTGGTAGATAAAGTAGATTGTTGTTAAAGTTATTGGTAGATAAAGTAGATTATTGTTGAATTTATTGGTAGATAAAGTAGATTATTGTTAAATTTATTGGTAGATAAAGTAGATTGTTGTTAAATTTAGCAATAAACTTCATTTATTTACATGTTTTTTATTAATATTAACTGTAATATTAAAAAGAGTTTTTAAAACTTATTTATGTATATTTATGTATATAATTACTATTTATAAAATATTTATGGAATATTTAATACTTATTGAATTTAGTTGTTTTGTATAAACAAGGTTTTAGTAGTTTTAGTAATTTTAGTAATTTATAATTTTTATTCTAAATGTAGCGGTCTCTAAAGCAATGGTACGTAGCAGTGTCCTTGGGGTCCGGTTTTAGGTTTTTAGTAAAGACCTAATGAGCAAATTTTGAATATAATATGCAGGTGCGTTAAATGAGGTCTTCAGACTTCAGGAACGCGCTAAAGTCGTGTTAAAGTCTTGCTAGTCAATGCATGCTTAAAAAAGTATTATGATATACTTCATGGAGCCGGGATCGTTGAACCTCATATTGCTACGTCAAACTGTATTTTTTTAAACGAGCTTTCTTCGTAATAGTAGCAAAACTTAGCAATCGATCTAATTTACATAAAGTGATAACATATATCAGCAATATAGTGTACATGTGCTGACAATACACTAAAATTTTTTATAAACAAATATAAAAAGTACTTTCTCAAACTTTATTGACAATTTGACAGTAATACGACTGTTTTAAGCTGATACTTTATGTATTCTTTGACAAAAAAAAGAAATTATTCTAACTTCTTAGAAATTTAGTTTTATTATAAATAGTTTTCTTTAATAAATGAATAAGTCAATAAAAAAAAAAAAACACTATTATTTTCAGAAGATACTGCTACTCAGTGTAGTAGCACTCCATTGCATGTTCTCGCTAAATCAGTTGATGTATGTACTAAAGTTTCCAACTCCTAATTTCTACGCTTAATTCCCTTATTTTACCCGTTGTTAATTTCCGCATTTCAGCATTTTGTATTTCCGCATTTTACACGTGACAGTTACAGTACTATAAAAAAGGAATCTGTTTTATGGCTTACGGCATTTATGTGTATACGGATATATGTGGATACGGTATTTATACATACATCGCCAAATGTTTTTTTTAATTCTCGTTATATTGGCATAAGTTTTTTTTTATTATTAATATTATTATTAATAATAATATTAATAATAAAAATCCAAATGCTGATGAAAAAAAGGTGCTCTGAGAAATCCTAATGGTCTTTTCACAGACCACCGTCCCATATAGAATAGCATTTAATAGATTAGCTCTCCATTTCCAACCTTACCAAAAGAGTTTTTGAGCCAAGCCGTGAAGTGGAACCAAGACTTTGCGGTCGGAGTCCAAACGGTTGATATCTACGCAATGGTTGCCAACAACGCTGCGTTCATTGCTAAAATTTAGGTCACCTATTCCACCTATTCCTATTATTAGAACCTATTCCAATGTTTTTTCATTAGTAATTCACCTAAATTTTTCTATACGTCCAAAAGTTTCGACTTACCTTTACCTTTTGTTTGTTAGCAATAGGTATAAATATTTCTAACGCGCCCGAATATTTAGACTTATTTTAACATTTTCTGTTAGTTAATTATCTAAAAATTTCTACCGCGTCTGAAAGTTTAAACGTATCTTTAACTTTTTCTGTTAGGAATACGTCTAAATATTTCTACCGCGCCCGAATGTTTGGACGTATCTTTAACTTTTCTTGTTAGGAATACGTCTAGACGTAACTGTAGTCACTGCGTAATTAAAACGCCATTTTTTAATATTAGATTAATTAAAGTTACGCAAAAACGTAAGTCAGACAAAAGCAGACGTAACTTTTCTTGCGTAAAGTTTGCTGAGCTTTTTTTAGGAAAATGTTTTTTTGACTTTTTGCGTAAGTAAAAACTTACGCAAAAACTTAAGAATATCGTAAGTTTTTGCTTTGTGAATATGACTTTGCGTAACTTTGAATTTACGCTAAAACTTACGAAATTTTTTGACTTACAAAAGAGTTGTGAATAAGCTCCCTGGTGCGGTATATTCTAAGGTGCGGTGATATTCTATTACAATTCTCATGGTATGGCTCAGTCATTATACTGGCCTTGCACCAAGGACACTTTTTGCCTCAACTTCTCTAGCATTTTAAATTATCAATAACATATATTTATCCGCAGTATTTTTATAACTGTTAAATTTTTGAAATCCTTTTTTAGACATATTTATTGTAAAAAATCAAATGTTTTACGATTGTTAAGGCGTGAGTCTAACTTTTTTGAAAATGCATCGGTTTGGAAATAAAATAATTATATAATCAAAATACACAAAAATAAATTTTTTACTAAAATGAATCAGTCAAAAAAAAACGCACTTATTTGCAGCTTTTTTTACTTTAAATATTGCGATTCACATTTTGGTGATTTGTTTACTTTTCTGAAATAACTCAAGCAAATGTTAAAAAAAATTCTTTGAACATAAAAATATTTTGATTTTTTGTACAGCAAGCTTTGATTTTGGTGCAGTATGATAAATCTTTATGTTTAGGACAAAATCGTAAAATTCAAAAAATGTATATATTGATCATTTTTTTTTCGTTCATAAGAAAAATCTCTCCAAAATAATTTTTATTGTTTATAGAAGTGTGAAATAAGCTCTTTCCAATGATGCAAATAAAAAAATAAAAAATTATTGCCCACATTGAGTTTTAGGGGTTCAAACACACGTTATTTTAGGGTATTTCACTTTTGTCGCTATTTTGCTTTCAAAATAACTCAGAAAAGACGTTTATAAAAAAGCTGATTTTTAATCTATATCATTATGATAGTATGTAGAACCTGTAAACAAAATAACAATACTAAAAAATCTTTTGTTCTGGAGATATAACCCTACAAAAAGCAGAAAAAATTTATGGTGTTGAATTTGTGACGGTATTTGGTGAACCATAGACTAAAATGTAGGCATATTATGAAACTTAAAATAATTTTTTTGTAACCTCCATCTTCGGTTTATTAAGAAACCACGGTCTCAAGATATATTATCCGTTCATTACGAAAATATAAGACCCCAAAAATGCTGGTTTTAGCTACAGACTGATATTGAAGTTTGGTTAAGCCTTTCAAAAAGTACCACAAAACCCAAAATAATAAACATTTTATTCTAAAAATTTGGCAATTTTTATGAAATATGTTTAACAACATGCTGACAAAATTTTATTAAAATTGGAGATGTAGAGCGGAGACCTCTGGACCACTTGGCGTGGAATGACCCATATACCATAATTTCTTATTAAAAAACTAAATCACTTTTTTTAGGTTATTTGTATGTTTAATAAATAATTCATTTTCATACACATTATTAAGAATATAAATCTGTGTTAATAATTAGTTAAACGTTTAACTAATTATTAACACAGATTTATATTCTATTGGTGTTTAACACCAAAAAATAAAATTAAAATCTAACATTGATTTTACATCTAGATCCAATTTGTGATATCATTTTAATTAAATAATACTTTCATAAAGCTCAAAACAAACAAAAAATACCTTAATGCTGAATAACCAAGATTTTTTTACTTAAGGGTACAAAATCCATCATATCTGTATTAAATTGGTAAGAATCGTGTGTTCTTAGAAACATTAAATTTATTTCCGAAAGCTCTTTAATCTAGTCTTTAGTTAAGACATTAGACCTATGCTTTGTTTCTATTGCACAAGCAACTAGTTCTTCAGTTAAATATGGATTCATATATAAATTTTAAAAATCAAGTTATTAAAGTCACGCTATCTTAGTTTCTAAAGAAATGTGGAAAACGATTTTAATGAAAACGTCACGGTAGCGAATAAAAAATCGAAATTTGTTAGCTACTATATAAGAGAACATTTTTCTAAATCGGACACGTCAAAACCAACTATGTGGCCAAGTTTAATTTTCAGATTTTATTCAGAAAGATCTATATTTTATTATTTATTTGAGAGCGTTTATCGATTGAATAAAAGGTCGGTACGTATAACAGGAGCCGTTGTGGCCATGGCAAGAATCTCTATAGCCAAATTACGTAAATTACGGCAGACGCAAAGAAATTTTGAGGAATATTACGCTAGCAAAAAAATCCAAAGCTAAGTTGGCTGCCGTTAAATTTTATCTCTATGGCCATAAGCCAATAAGGGTTATCCATAAAGTACGTCACGCAGAGTTTATAAGTATTATTGACTTTCTATTACTGAGAATTTTGAAATAATATAGCGGATGTTTACAGCGTTTTTAAAATTTAAATTTAGCGTGACGTAGTTTATCAACGACGAAAAATGATAAGCAAGTCATAAAATTGCTTAAATTCGTTTTCAATTACATATATTTAAAAATATCTTAATAATTAATTCTAAATCTAAAAAATTTTTGATTAGCATTAAATATTTTTTTTTTTAATAAATCAATCTGACTTTAAACTATGTGGCCATGGCCACAATGGCCACCTCTTAGATCCGCGCCTGCTTTGACTAGTGTATATTAACACTTTTGTTATTTTCATTCTCATTTAATATTTTTTATCTTTAAAAAAAAAAACATTTCTTCAGAAGTATTAACTACGAAAAGCGACGTTGACGTTATTTGAGTTTTTTAATAATATAGTGAAACTATTATTAAAGCTGTTTTATCATTTTTATCATTGATTATCAAAAAATTATATAACTTAAAGTACAATCTGATTTTTGGAAGTCTAGTTAACAAATTATTACTAAATAAAGACTTGTTAGTTTTAGAAAAAACGTTACGGCTCATTCATAGCACAGAGTGGCTCTTTCATTGACAAGATGTTATGAAATAGCTGATTTCTCTCTTTTTTTAAAAAAAGGTGTATGATAGATTATTAGCATTTTTATCCAATTTATTTTAATTTTATAATATTACCCAATAAAGTAGCTATTTAACTAAAAAAATTTTTTTAATTAATCAAGTTTGATTAATTTAAAAAAAAATTGATAACCATAGATATTTTACTCTCCCCTAATAGTGAGAGAATGAAATATCTATTGTTAGAGTCTAAAATAAAGTATTTACGCATTATGAAAAATAAGTTCCGAATAATTAAGGTGATTATTGTGAACTAGTAAAATCTTA